TATTTAACAGGCATTTTTATAATATTCTGCAAAACTTTCACTTAACTAAACAATACACATTGAGGTCGGTTATGTGCTGACCACATCAGATTTTTTTTATATAACACAATTTTTGAATCGCATATGTCTTATCCACTACAAACGACTTGTAAAATAGTTTAAGTATTTTAGTACAATTATCATAAAGAATCAATTCCAGTATACTAAATATAAGTACAATGTAAATTTATTTTTAAATAAAATTAAATTTAATTCACGTATGTATCCATAAAAAAAAACAATGAGAAATAAAAGGATAACAAAATTTGTTGTAATTATATCTCTTGCTTCAAATTACTAACATTAATTGCTAATTATTTTATGTACTATATGCACGGATATTATTTAAGTATATTTATATGGAATTTATATATGTATATACAAAAATTATTATACATGTACACATATATAAATACTTTTCTGGGTTTATTGTTTCAAAAGCTAAAAAAGAAACAAAAGAAAAAAAGAAATATATTGACTTTCAAAAGCTTTAATATATTTTTTGTTTTGCTTTTTCTTTTTTAATTCCAAGAACTGTTTTCTCTTTAATTTAATGCTACGTATATGTATGTTATTGTATGAATGTATCTGCATATATTTATATACGCGTATGATTTGCTTAAATTTCTGGTTTCTTTGCCGCTTTATTATTTTTATTATTGTTCTTGTTTTGTTTTCATTATTATTATTATTTTTTTTTTTAATTTATTTACAAGTACTCTTAGTTTTTTCTTTTTATTATTTATTAGTAAGTGGGTTTTCTTAATTTCTCTTTATTTCATTTTCCTTTTTTTACGTTTTTAATTTCTATGAATTTCTTGTCCTTTTTTAAGCCTTTAATTAAGGAAAACATAAAAAGAAAATGAAAAACAAAAATTGTAGACAATTTTCTTTTCTTTTTTGTTGTTAATTTTACTCTTCTTAATAAATTCATATATTTTTTATTTTTTTTGTTTTGTTGCTATTTTCCTTAATGAAATTGAATGGAAAACTCCATGAATGCTTTGTTAACCACTGAGTTTTTCTTAATTTTTTATTTTCGTTTTTGATATAAATTAAAAATTCTAGTATATAATTTAAAAACTAATTAAGCCGATAATACACTCTTTTTTTTTATTTTTACAATATAATTTGTTAACTATTTTTATTTAATATTCTTTTACAGTTTTTTTTTCTTTTCTTTGTTTTTTATACAAAATTTAAAACTATTCACTTACATAATCAATTTCTAATAAAATTTTGAAAAAGAAAAAAAAGAAAAAATCATATTTTCCTTAATCAAAAAATAGGAAAAATTCCTATACTAAACAGGTGGTGAATTTCTTGTTAAAGGTACACGCACTTAATTATATATTTGCAATTCTGTATAAAATAGATTGCAACGAAAATTTATTTATTACCTTTCTAAGTTATAATTAAAAAAGTAAATAAAGAATATGATTTAAAATTTTTATACCGCAACAATTTTAAATAAAATACAAGTATATCCTTTGTTGTATAAGTTTTCATTTTTTGTTTTCTTTGTTTTTTACTTTAATTAAAATTGTATAATTTTTAAATCCCTTTTTTATGATGAAGTACAGATGAAATAATTAATATTCAATGTAACATAAATTAAACAAAAACAAATTAATAAAAATATTTTAAGCGATTAATAATTTAAATATTTTCAATAATATTCAGTTTATATTATAGGATATTGCAATCATAACAGGTACTTACTTAGTACATAAGAATGCACCCTTTATTCCAAGAGTACAAAGATATTTGCATTATTGATTTTCATGTTTTATTAAACCCCGTCTACCAAAATAAAAAATCTGCAGTCAATTTGACGTTCTTAATATCGGTACAATTTGAATTTTTAAGGAAAGTAAGAATGTACTCAATTCACTTTGTACCAATAAGTCAAAAACAAGCAAAGTTGACACTAATTTGACATATTTTTGCGGACAAAAATTTCAATATGCGTTGAAAAAAGAATAGAAGAGAAACATCAAAATGTTAGTGGAAAATGTTAAAATAAAAATGTTAAAAAATGTTATAACAAAAAGTAGATTGCGTATTCTACGTAAAAATTTTGCAGTTTTGGTAGACGCCCAAAGTATATTTCGAGTTCAAAGCGTTTATTATGTTCTTAAATGAGAACTCAAAAATTTCAGCAACTTTCCAAAGTTATTCGAAAGTGACTGCTTATTATATAAATTTTGACAGTAAATAAATATTAGAGATTTTCATAAACAACAACTGCAAAACGCAATATTGCAAAACCATAACGCGATGAATGTTTCATAATAACTTAGCTATATTGTTATCTATTTGTTTATCTATTAGGTCTATAAATGGCATTCATAGTAAAATCATTGCTTTTTCAATAAAATTTGTTCGTAACTTCAGCACGTTCCTGTATATAATACAAGCAAGGATATATAGATATTGATTTTATTTTTTCTTTTAATGATTTAAATCATTTTTAACATAATAATTAAAATCTTTCTACAAGTTTCAATAATAAAAACATTGCTTTTGAATTAAAATATTCTTTTGAATTTTCATCATTACGTATTATAATAAGAATTATATTCAATGATCAAATTTTGAATACAATAAACATACTATGCACATACATATGTACATAAAGGTATGCTACGGAGATATTCAAATATTCTATGATATTATATAATATAATTTATGAATTTTTTATTTTAATTTTCATCGAATGAAACACTTTATTCACCATGTTAATAAAAAAAAATATATATCAGTAATCTCAAGGGTAAAAAACTATAAATGGCCCCTGGCTAAATAAATATATGTATGTATGAAATTCAATGATAACATTAAAATAATCGACACAACGAATTAATATTGTGCACTTCTATATTCCATCAAAATTTTATTTAATATAAAATGCTATAAATTAAACTCAATTAAAAATTTTTATATTACACAAATATAATTGAAAAATTTTGTACATGCACATTTATATATATATATATATGGCATGTTTATGAAAGTATGTACCTTTACCTAAATATTCAATCAAATATTAAATTTTTGTATAATTAAAATTTTCCAAAAAAAAGTTGTTAACTATTGAAATGTAAAAAAAAATATATTTTTCTTTTTGCAAATATTTTATTTTATTCACTCATTAGATTTTTATTATATTATGTTGCCCCATATAATTACTAGTTTTAGAACTTTTTACTGTTTCAAGAAAATTTAACACGAGAAACCTTTATGTGCAAATTACCCTAATATGGAATCAAAGTATGCATCAAGTTTTTAATTTTTCGAAAGCTCATTATTAATAAAAACACGAATTTGGGTTTCATAAAATTTCTAATCAAATAAAGATAAGGGCTAAATTTAATGATCAGTGTAGGGTCTAAAATTTAAACTATGTATAATAAGAAAAATGAAGTAAGGTTTCTGAAAAATTAAAATTTATCTATATAAGCAATTTTACGAGTTATTAATTTAAAAAATTTTACAAAGAAAAATATAAAAATTTTCCCTCTTAGACAAAGAGTCACAAAAAGATTTTAATTTATCTTTAAAATTTATGGAAAATACTACGAGTCAAATAAAATTTTTGTGATTTTAAGTTCACAATATGAAAATACAAACGGTTAATAAGTAAAAACTTTTATGCATATGTAAGTTTCTCTTCTTCATACAAGATTGTATTGAATACTTACTCCAATTTTAATTCAAGAGTAACTTAGTTATATTTTTCTTATATTAAAAGAACATGTATAATTGAAGATAAAAAAATTGAACGATCAAAACATATTAATAAACATTAAAACATCGCAGAGTAGACAAATGTTAACATAAAAAAATTAATATAATCGAATCTTCGTAAATTAAACCCTGAAGATCGGAATTATTTCTCAACTTATTTTAAATTAAATTACACATTGACAAAAATTAATATATTCGATTTTGCATTAAAAATAGAAAAAAAATGTTGCTTAATTTGACCCCTGCAATTGGTGGTGACCATGGACGTGTCAATTGTTGCCGGACCTGTGTTGTCTATTAACATATTTTTCCTTAACATATTTATGCTCATATTGGCAAAAACATTTTATTTTGATTTGCTTTTCGAAACAGTTCTTTTCAATGAAAATTTGTGTCAATAACAAGCGTAAATAAACTAATTTTTAAAAGATATTGGTATGAGAATCTCAATTTCGATTAAATCGGTTTTGATGAAAATTTATATTCGAATTTACTTTGACGGATTGATAAATTTTTTAAAATTTATATAAACTTCGCCTAACTTTTCGCAAAAATTTAATATTTGAGTTCTGTTTCTATTGCCGTAACTAATTGACGGGTTTTTCAGGACATTCATTGGTATAGTAAATATTTACTAGGATAAACTTACTAACGTCCTTAAAATTTGAAGGAAGTGTTTAAAGGACATTTTCAATATCCTGTGCGACATTTTCACTAAATTAAACCATACAAATTGCAATAGGTTATGTGGTGATCACGTCAAATCTTTATATTGCTTCTTATAAAATTATATTAACTATTATATTATTTTCTGCCTTTCCTCATAGAGTTTTTTGTTTTAAAAAAAATGTGGAAAGGAATAATGCTTATTTTGTTTTTTTCCATAATTTTACTGTGATTATATTTGCAAATACACACATATATATAAAAGAAGTCCTTTATATTTTTTATTTTCAATACAAAAATAGTGAAAATCTAAAATAAAGCTATTAATGTTAAATAAACACATACTCGTACTTACAGTTATCTATACAGTATATTTATTTTTAATGTGCAATGTTTTATTCATTTGATTTGTTTTTATTCTCTTTTTACTTTCTGAAAGAGTGAAACTTGTAGAAACATCAGCTGTTTATAACTTTATTTTCTTTTTGAGAAAATAAAGTTATAGTAATGAAAAAAATAAAGAAAATAACGCAGAAGACGAAACAAAATGTATATGTATGTTTATTAAATAAAGATTAATTGCATTTGTTGTACTTGCTTTATTCCAATAAAAAATAAAACTAAAACAGTAAAGTAAAAAATTTGTGTTGCTTTTTTTTCTTTTTCTTGCTGAACAAAATTTACATGCTGTTGTGATTCATTTTGTTTTTCTTTTTTTTTGCTTTTGATCTTTTTGTCCTTTTCAACACGATTAAATCCAACATTTTAAAGAATATTAAAAAACAATTACAAGTCAAATAAGGAAATATTAAATAAGAAAAATTTTAAAATTACAAAAAATTCAACATAAGATTTTTTGGATTTTATTTTCTTTTATCTTGTAAATTTCATGAAACTTATGTTTTATTTCTTGCTTTTTTTGTATTTTAATTGTTCCAAAAATTAAAATATATTGTTATACTTTATAGAAGCTTTGCTTTTTCTGTTTATTTAATTTTTGATCTCCTCAATATATTGTGATTTAAATAAAAGATGGTGCTGCGATTTTCAAAATTCCATATATAAGTGAAAATTTTTATTGAAATTAACATAATTATTTTTTTTTATAAGATATGATGTTGAACTTGGAATTTCGGTTGAGTTTCTTATATAACTTATTCTTACTTCACAGTGGCTATAATACGGTTTTAATACACAATTCAGCTGTAATTGCGTAAATTGTATAGCAATACTTTACTGCATTTTTGAAGTTAATGGCTGGTTGTAAATGTTTTTATGAACAAATATACTTTTGATATAAAAATGAGGTTCAAAAATTTTATGTTTTTAACGCTAAAAACTGTGATATTATATAAAATATTTTTAAACTATTTAAAATTTTGTCGACTCGATTGTAGTTTGTAACACATACTGCAATATGTAATCTAAAAAGAAATCAGAAATTTTGTTATATTATTAAGTGAATACAACAAAATATCATTGTCCTTTTAGAATTTTAATTTCTACTCAACCAAAATTAATTATGAGAATCGCGAAAACACCTTACATTTTTGACTGTTTTGATTCATTTTCTTGCTTTTTTTGTATTAAATGTAAATATAATTTCATGATTTATTCTTGAGTTTTTCTTTTCTGTTTAATATTTGTATAAATTTTTTCTTTCTTATATATTTTATTTTAATTTTATACATTTTCATTAATATTATTTTTGTATGGATTTCTTTTTCAATATATATATATATATAATAATATATATGTTTGTATATATACATATATACATTATTTGACGATTAATGTATGTTATCATCTGTATCGTTGGTATAAATATTTTCATAACTCCATATGATTCTATACCACAGCCAGGACCAGTATAAAAATAAATACTTAATACTAACGATATGAGTTATTTCATTATGTTTACTACTTTGTTTTTTATCATTGTTATTGTTATTTATTCTATTATTTTTATCTACTATATTTAATTTGGGTTTTTTTCTCTTTTTAAATTCTAAATTTGTTAAATTATTTATTTTTATAATTTTTAAGTTATTCAGATTTTTATTGTATTTGTTATCAATATTTTTATGATTATATTTCATTTTATTATAGTTATTATTTCCATTTTTATTATTATTCATATTATTTGTGTTATTATTACTTTTATTATAATTGTAATTATTATTTACATAATTAATATTATTATTTTTAATTTTATTATTCACGTTATAATTACGTCATGTTATACCCGATTCATTTTGATCATGTTGCTGTTGTCATTCATCCCATAAACATTGTTGTTTTTCTCTTACATAATATATATATTGATCACATTTCCGACATGTTTTAATACCACAACGATAATTTGTTGGATTCTGCCCAATTCCATTTGATGATATTGGATCTATTTTGCCTTTACAATATTTTAATCCGCATGGATACCAACCAATACACATTTCTAATGTACATAAACATGATGAACGTAAATTAAGTATTTCACTACAACGTTTTGCCGATATATCAGGAAATAATATTGTTGCTGCTTCTAAACTTGAAATTGATGATCCTTTTTTTGTTTATGTTTTGTTTTTTTTATTTTGTTTTGACATTTGTGGTATTTGTATATTATATTTTATATATTTAGATTATTGTGTGTTTGGTTTTGATTTTATATTAAATAAGTTATGTGGATTAAAAAACCGAAAAAGGAGAGAAATATAAAAAAATAATATAAATAACATATTTTCAGTTACTAATATAAAAAATAAATAAATTACAAAAGAAGGAAAGGGAAAGAAAGCCAAAACTGTAAAAGCATATAACAAAAGTACGGTTTTTTCCAAAAAAAATAACTAAATTTACGTTTTTAGCAGTTCAAATTACAGTTAAGCATGTATATATATTTACATAATATATTTATATAGACATATGCTTGTTTAAAATAGAAAAGAAATTGTTGACGTTTATCATATATCATTAAGAATAATATTAAGGCTACATGAACCAAAAAAAACAGAATAAACAAAATAAAAGAAAAAGTTAAAAAGAAAACCAAAAAGTAACCCATTACGGTAAGAAAAAATTGTTCAAGTTATTTTTATTTAAACTCGAATGAATATTTTTCGTTATAGTCAAGAAAAATAAAGAAAAAAGGAAAAACGAAAAGACTACGGAAAAATATCCTTAAATGTCATATCACTAATAAATTTTTATTACTTTATATATGCTTGTACTTTAATTGCCTGAGAAACGTGTTATATACTTTATAACAGCATCACAATTTTCCTTTTCCTTCTTTTTTATCATAAATTTTCACTTTTTATGTATATATTTTTTTGTTCTAATACAAATATTATGTATATTTTGTACCTGGTAATTCTGCCCATGCTTTTAAATCAGCATCACGAACATAAGTTGAATCAGCTGCCTCAGAACATAATGAATATAAATGCCTTGTAATTGGTAAAGATCGATTCAATTGTACCCATGCTGTCATCGTATAACTTTCTTTACCTTTATCATCTTCTGGCGTTCTTATTGTACTTGGATTTTTTTGTCGTAATTTTGCCATAGCGTCAGCAGATATAAAATCACCTTTCATGAATTTTGTCACGAAACACATAACTTGGTATTGACTTTGTCCACGTTCTTCTTCTCCAAGAACAAGAGCTTTAAGAATTTTAACTTCCTGCAAAATAAACAAAAATTAATAATAGTAACAAACATAAAAAAAAAAGGAAAATTAAATAAGAAGAAAAGGAAAAATCAAAAAATTAAAAGTTAAGTTAAATAAAACTAAAAAAAAAAAAAAACAAAAAAAAAAATAAAAAAAAAAACAAGAAAAAAGTTAAAAAACGAAAAGAAAGAGAAAAAATGTCTGTTGATTCCTTTGGGTGGAATTAAGAAGTCTTATTTGAACATTAAATGTACATACATACAAATCATAAAAACGTACATGTATAAAATATAATGTACGTTATTATAATATAATATATATGCAAATATATTTATTGTTTGTATATGAAAATATATAAAATTACTTCCGAACAATATTTTTCATATAATAATAAAAAGAAAATTGGGAATTGAGAAATTATATTTTGAATGTCCATACAAAACGTATAAAGATACAAACAAACGTGTTTATATTCATAGACTAAATAAGTTAGTTAACACTATATATATTCATATATATGTACATTTATTTATTTGTATTATAATTTATGCTATATATTCTTAGTTATATCTATATATCATATTATATACTTACATTTCGAAAATCGATTAATTGTGTTATAAGTGTTCCGTCCGTTCTTTGGAATTCTAGTGTGATTAAATCATCACTAACATTAGACGTTATTGTTTCCTGAATCACTTCGCCACCCTATATAAGAATACAAAACAAAAATACATAAATATTAAATATAAAACAGAAAATATTTAATAAAAGATCAATAATAATAATAATAAAAATAAAAAACCAAAATAATTTTATGAATAAAAAAAAATGCTTTTTTTGTTTTGCTTTCTTTATAAATATGCTGTCGCCCTTATTGCCGTTGTTGCTGTTATTATCCTGCCATTTTAATATAAAATGTACTAACTATATGTATTTACATTTTCAAAACATTTGTTACAAAATACCATTTTATTTGCTTTAATATAAAAGGATAAAAACAGAAAAATATAAAAATAAACAAAAATCAGTTGATTTATATCGGGCGGAAAGAAGTATGTATGTATAAAGAAAATTATACAATTGAAGAAGAATATTGGTATATAAAGAATTTCAGTGGAGGATATGAAGAAGAGGGGTCGGAAAAGATTAGGTACTGCATTGAAAGAATATCGAATAAAAACAGAAAATGAAAGTTATTGACATAAATAAAAGTATATACGCATACACGTACATGTGTAAATATATACTTACTTACATCAATAGATATTTTATTATTTTTATTTGAATCTGAAATTAACCTTGTATCAATTTGATTTGTTTGCTTGAAAATTCGGTAATCATAAATATTTATTTTTGTTTTTGTTTTTCTTTTATGTTTTTTTGTTTTTTTTTTAGTATTGACATTATTATTAAAACTCTATTACTTAAAGCCACGATATCGTTTTAATTTAAAAATATAAGTAGAATAAATGAATTTTTTTTGAGAAAAGTAGAGTCAAAAATAACACAAAGTTTGTGTATACTATGAAAATATTTATACAAAATAAAAAGTTCTATTTTGTATTTACTTATTCGATTTATTCTTTCACTAAATTGCATATTACATTAAAAACAAAACAATAAAGAAAATAAATTTATATTGAAAATTATAACTTTAAGCTAAAATTGGAATGGAAGGAGGCGAGTTTATTAAACAGAAAAAATATATAATAAATACATACAGTATTTCATGAAAATTTTGGAATATCATATCTTCTCTTTGTGTTATTTAGTATTGTGTTAGCGTTTTTATTCAACTAAATACGAACCCAATTTAGAATTACCATACATGTTCGAAATTACTTTTCAATTATATAATTTTACACGTGTTATTTAATGGTGTAATTTGCATCAATTAGAAATAGTTGGGAACTTTTATACGCTGTCAAAAGGAGCATGACCAATGTGTTCGCTTTGCCCACACTTTTTTTTTGATTTTATCACACTCAATAGAACGGAGAACGTATTTCTTTTTGTATAATTACATAAATTTTCAGAGAAAAAAAGTACTTTTCAAGAATCTGATTTTCTTATTGTTACGAAATTATTTAAAACTTTTAACTCATCTTCCATATTTTTAATTGTAAATTTAGTAGTGATAGAAAGAATAGTAAAGTAAATAATAGGGAGGATATATAATGGGAGCAAATTTCGCATTTCGAGTCTTCGGTTAAAACGTATTTCTTTATGCTAGGAAAGGGCTAAATGAACTATTTTTGTAGAAATGTATGTCGGTCTTTTGTCTTTCTGTCTTTTAGCCTATATTTACTTTGAGGTTGGGTCGTTTTGATCAACTTTGGGTTATGTCAAGTCTAAGAAACTGAATTTTTACAACTGGCCGATTTTACATTTTTTATCATATTTAAGGAAATATTGATCTGCTTTACTTGAAATATTATATATAAGCTTCGTTTGACAGTATGACAAGCCATCTAATTTTTCGAGGAAATCACGTGTCAGCAACTGAAGATTTACTACGAGCAAAATTAACATTTTTATACATATAAAGAGTAATAATTAACCATTTTTCTTGAAATTTGATATTTAAATTAAGATTGTTAATACAGATATTAAAAAATGTTAAAGAAATTTAGAACTTGAATTTGTATATTTATACTTATTTTCATTTATATTTTAATGCTAGAACTTGATAGTATATGAATAACTGATTTTAAAGGACAGGAACAAAAATTTTTTTTCAATTTCCATACTTTCACTTTCAATAATTAAAATTTATGAACTTTAATAAAAAAAACTTATATGTAAGCACATTTTTCTTCGTTTGTGAATTTTTTCTAAATAGATGAAAATATTATAAAAATGTATAGTAATATTGGTCATTTAAAACTAGATTTTAAAAGTATACCTAAATAATATACGCACACATAAAGTGTATTTATTTATAAAATTGTATATTATGTATACAAGACGGAAAATTACGAGTTTTGTCATGAGAAATGTTTTATTGGTCTAAAAAATCCATTCTCTCAGATATCGCTTTTAATATAATTTTTTGTTAAAGTACTTTTATCCTTTATATTTAGATACCTCATAGTTATAGCAGTAATTACATAATACAGTGCAAAATACTTTTTATATAAATTCCTTTGGTGACAGACAAGATAACATTTTAATTTTTTTTTATATTAAAATATTTGTACATTTTGTATGGGAGAGATGTTAAATCCGATTAAGAACTTTAAAATTTAATGATAGACAGTCAATTAATTACATTGAAGTTTGTGGTTTAAATTTTAAAATTTTAATAAATCATTTAAATTGAAAATTGCGGTTAAATTTTTTAAAATTCATCAAGAAATATTTAGTATGTTTTTATATTTTTTAATTTGTTAAAATATTACCATAGAATTTAAATTATAGAACTACTGTATAGAATTTTAATAAAAGAAAATGTTTGATTCTGTCCGATAAAAACCAGCCGTTAATGTATTTACCACTAATCTGGAAAATGATTTTTTTTTTCTGTTTCCTTTTTATTTAATTTCAAAAGCAATCACAATTACTAACAACTATTTAAACAAGGAAATACATAATATATTTTTGAAAAGGAAATGAAAGAGCATTTAAGGACGTGGCGCATTATTAGAAAATATTACATTGATAACAATTCAATCATAAATTTAATGCAAATTGCAAGCGAGAAAGTATTTAAGTAGGATAATGAAATCATGTCAAATATACACATACACATATAAGGTAGCTATAATGTAGGAATGCACATATTCTCTAAATTGTTATGTTATCTAATATAAAAATAAATTTAATAAAATTCAAAACGACCTTGTTAAGAATAAGTACGAAATTGTTAATAAATGTATAGATTTTCTGTTTACCATAAATTCATTTAAAATTTTATTTTATTTCAACATAATATGTATGTATAAGTTGAAATAAGCTAGCTATAACTTAGAAATTTCAATTTTTCAATTTTTGTCACTGAAATTGATCAATAAATTAAAAAACACAGATACGGAATGAATGGATTCTATTCTGATTTAGTAAGAGGTAAAATGATTATTTTACCTAGATTTATTAAGCTGCACTATTTTTTAGAATTTATTTATTATGCACTGGTTTTTTAGAATTCTTCATAAAAGTTATTTCGAACTATCTTTAAATGTTTATTATGTTGAAAAAAAAATTTCCACTTAAAAATTTCAATATTTACCGTTTTTTATTTTCGAAGCTTTTCTGAATTTCTATAAAAGCTAAATTCTATCTGTAAATTTTTTGGCATCAAAATTATTTATCTTTTTTTACCTGATATTTAATTCTAATTTTTTGTATTCTCCTACAAGTATGCTATTTTTTAAAGTATAAAAAAGTTTTCGTATGAATGAGAATAAATCAGGTAGTGGCTAGTATTGTTTAAAAAAAAAACAAATTTTGATCTGCTTAAGAGAAAAATGCTCCTTTACAAACCATTGGTTTGATCTAAATTTATCTATTAATTTACATCATAGATTGAATGCTACCAATTTTTTTTTACTTAAAATTAAATAAATTTATGAAGACATTAAAATTAGGAAATAAAGCATTTGACAGTAGTCGGATAGCAATTGTAATCTTAAAAATAAAAAAAAAAATATTTTTTTGGGAAAAGAACTAATAAAAATAAAAAATATTTAAAATTATAGGTTTTTTTTATATGTCAAAGCATAAGATCAAATTTAATACCATGTTAATTTGGAACCTTAATAATAACATTATTATAATAAAGTCTAATAAATTCCATTTTGCTCCATTTTTCTAAACATAAGCACATAACAAAAATATATTAGTTGAAAAATTATATTACTGGTATGAAGCAGGTAATGAAAAACTCGTTATGTTATTTGTTATGTTATTTGAAACTCTTTAAAATAATATCGTTACGAATTTAAATTATGCATATTAGCTTCTGTTACAGCACGCAATCTTTCTTTGCAAAAAAAATTCATAATTGGTCTTTTTCTTTAATTTTATCTATAACATAAAGTTATAAATATTTTTTGTTTCAGTCTATAATTACTTAAAAGATATTCGTTTATATAGAGTACAGTGTCTCTTAAAAACTCATTTAAAACAATCAAGTTTTCAAAATTTTTTTAAAAATTAAGAACATTAATATTTACAAAATTTAAAATTAGCATTTCCATAGAACCGTCCTTATATTTAGAGTAACATAAATTTTTAATTATGGAAAAATATTAATAATTACCAAAAAGAGTGCGAGAGCATAAAGTTTTTGAAAAATATAAAGCAAAATTGAGCTGCAATTTTATTTAATTTCGACTTTACTATTTTGTGTCATATCGGCACTCATTTTTAACGCCTTATAAAAGTATAATTCTATATTATATAGTACTAAATATCAAGTTATATATATGTGTATATAGCTAAATATACAAATATGATCAGTTTGAGATTTAAACTCGAAACAGTTTATCTATGGATGATCAATGCTCAAATCATTGAACTATTGTTTATACTAAACATTACTCTTACATTATATAAAATTTTTTTTTCAATTTTTATTACTATAGTTTTCATCATTAAGAACAGCAATAAACCAAAAGTTCATTATAAATCTTATGTGCTGTATACACTATATAAGTATTATAATACTTATATAATAATTTATATTATTTTTTATGTATAATACA